TTTTTGTCTCCAGTCTTCAACCATAGAACCCTGGACTTGCTTTGCCAATACATCTCTTCTTCCCTGTAGGCATTGTGCAGTTTGGCTTTATAGCTTGCCCATTCATTCCAATCCTTCTCACTACCAAGGAGGGACATTTTCTGCAACTTTTCTTTGCAAATATCTATTTGTTTTGCTGAGTTTGTTTGCAGCTTTGCAGACCACTGTAGAAGGCCCAATCTGGTCTCTTTGAGCTTATGTTGAATCCTTCCCAAATCACTTCTCCCCTCCTGGCTTTTCCATGCTGCATCAATTACCTCTCTGCATCCTTCCCTTGCTTCCCACCTTTCATCATAGGTAAACCTTTTCCTTGTCTTCTTTTTGCAGGGTTCAGTTTGCATCAGAAGCAAGTAATGATCAGAGGATATCATATGAATGTGCCTAACACTGGACATTGGGAAAGTTAAGAGCCAACCAGGAGAGAAAAAGATCCTATATAGCCTTTCTTCCACAAAACCCTCACCCTGTCTATTGTTAGCCCAAGTAAAAGGGTACCCTGTGAAATCCCCATCCTACATACCCATACTTCTAACAAAATGCCTAAAACCCAGAAAAATACAATCCTCTCTTTTCTTACCTCCTTTTTTTTCAGAATGGTACAAAAGATCATTAAAATCACCTCCTAAGAACCAACTGTCACCCCACATTAAACTGTGCCTAATCAAAAACTGCCATTGACTTTTTCTAACCTGCTTATCAGTACTAAGATAAACAAAAACACCCCAGAATCTAGTACTGATACCATGGATAAGAAAACAAACTTCAATACAAAAGTCACAACACATTATATCTAAGATGATAATGGAATCATCCCACCAAAGTAAGAGCCCTCCTTTGAGCCCAATAGGCTCAACAGAGACCCACCTATCTTCTAATTTAGGCCTTGTTTGGCGATCAGCGGATAGCGGATAGCGGATTGTATCAGCGGATAGCGGATAGCGGATTATATTAGCTGATTTGACCAGCGGATTGCACTAGCGGTTTTTAAATAAGTGTTTGGTAAATAGCTGAAAGCTTATAGCTGTTTGACATTGCAAAATGACCAATAAGGACATTTTATTATTTATGGTGTTTTTTAATAATAATATATTAAAACATTTTAATAATAATATATTAAAACATTTAATATACTTTAGTTGGTAATTTATAAATATTTTTTTTTAAAAAAATTTACTAACACTTGATGAAGAAGTTATGAATTTTACATTTTTCTAGATAAATTAATCATATGGATGACATATTATTATT